TTCAAATGTAATGTTTGTTTCTTGATTATTCTTTATTTTTTTATTCTTTATTTTCACACTCAGTATCCGTTTGTGTCTTAGTGGCTTTATTGCCTTGCATGGGGTGAAATGGTTAGAAAACAAATGTAAATGCAATGTTAATCGTTATCTACTGTCCTCTTTGATTATTCTTCTATTGTTTCCGCTTCTTAATATTGTTTTTTTATTTTCTTATTCTTTCACACTCAGTATCCGTTTGTGTCTTAGTGGCTTTATTGCCTTGCATGGGGTGAAATGGTTAGAAAACAAATGTAAATGTAATGTTAATCGTTATCTACTGTCCTCTTGATTATTCTTCTATTGTTTCCGCTTTTTAATATTGTTTCTTTATTTTCTTATTCTTTAACACTCAGTATCCGTTTGTGTCTTTAGTGGCTTTATTGCCTTGCATGGGTTGGAAATGGTTAGAAAAACAAATTTAAATGCAATGTTAATCGTTATCTACTGTCCTCTTGATTCTTCTATTGTTTCCGCTTCTTAATATTGTTTCTTTATTTTCTTATTCTTTTAACACTCAGTATCCGTTTGTGTCTTAGTGGCTTTATTGCCTTGCATGGGGTGAAATGGTTAGAAAAACAAATGTAAATGCAATGTTAATCGTTATCTACTGTCCCTCTTGATTATTTCTACTATTGTTTCCTTTTTTAATATTGTTTCTTTATTTTCTTATTTTTTCACACTCAGTATCCGTTTTGTCTTAGTGGCTTTATTGCCTTGCATGGGTTGAAATGGTTAGAAAACAAATTTAAATGCAATGTTAATCGTTATCTACTGTCCTCTTGATTATTCTTCTATTGTTTCCTTCTTAATATTGTTTCTTTATTTTCTTATTCTTTCACACTCACTATCCGTTTGTGTCTTAGTGGCTTTTATTGCCTTGCATGGGGTGAAATGGTTAGAAAAACAAAATGTAAATGCAATGTTAATCGTTATCTACTGTCTTTTTGATTATTCTTCTATTGTTTCCCTTCTTAATATTGTTTCTTTATTTTATTATTCTTTCACACTGTAAAGTATCCGTTTGTGTCTTAGTGGCTTTATTGCCTTGTATGGGTGAAATGGTTAGAAAACAAATTTAAATGCAATGTTAATCGTTATCTACTGTCCTCTTGATTATTCTTCTATTGTTTCCGCTTCTTAATATTGTTTCTTTATTTTCTTATTCTTTCACCTCAGTATCCGTTTGTGTCTTAGTGTCTTTTATTGCCTTGCATGGGTTGAAATGGTTAGAAAACAAATGTAAATGCAATGTTAATCGTTATCTACTGTCCTCTTGATTATTCTTCTATTGTTTCTATTTTCTTAATATTGTTTCTTTATTTTCTTATTCTTTCACACTCAGGATCTGCTTGTGTCTTAGTTGCTTTATTGCCTTGCATGTGTTGAAATGGTTAGAAAACAAATGTAAATGCAATGTTAATCGTTATCTACTGTCCTCTTGATTATTCTTCTATTGTTTCCGCTTCTTAATATTGTTTCTTTATTTTCTTATTCTTTCACACTCAGTATCCGTTTGTGTCTTAGTGGCTTTATTGCCTTGCATGGGTTGAAATGGTTAGAAAACAAATGTAAATGCAATGTTAATCGTTATCTACTGTCCTCTTGATTATTCTTCTATTGTTTCCGCTTCTTAATATTGTTTCTTTATTTTCTTATTCTTTCACACTCAGGATCCGCTTGTGTCTTAGTTGCTCTATTGCCTTGCATGTGTTGAAATGGTTAGAAAACAAATGTAAATGCAATGTTAATCGTTATCTACTGTCCTCTTGATTCTTCTTCTATTGTTTCCGCTTCTTAATATTGTTTCTTTATTTTCTTATTCTTTCACACTCAGTATCCGTTTGTGTCTTAGTGGCTTTATTGCCTTGCATGGGGTGAAATGGTTAGAAAACAAATGTAAATGCAATGTTAATCGTTATCTACTGTCCTCTTGATTATTCTTCTATTGTTTCCGCTTGTTAATATTGTTTCTTTATTTTATTATTCTTTCACACTCAGTATCCGTTTGTGTCTTAACTTTTTATTGCCTTGCATGGGGTGAAATGGTTAGAAAACAAATGTAAATGCAATGTTAATCGTTATCTACTGTCCTCTTGATTATTCTTCTATTGTTTTCACTTCTTAATATTGTTTCTTTATTATCTTATTCTTTCACACTCAGTATCCGCTTGTGTCTTAGTGGCTTTATAGCCTTGCATGGGGTGAAATGATTTGAAAACAAATTTAAATGCAATGTCAATCGTTATCTACTGTCTTCTTGATTACTCTTCTTCTATTGTTTCTGCTTCTTAATATTGTTTCTCTACCTTTTTTATTCTTTCACACTCAGTAACCTCTTATGTCTTAGTGGCTTTATTGCCTTGCACTGGGTGATATGATTAAAAAAATGAGAAATTCGAGACCCCCCCAAAAAAAAAAAAAAAACAAGGAAGAAAAGAAAATCGAGCACAATTCTAAGAACGGCTGTTAAGGGGTTTACGTGTTTCCGCTTTTATATGATTGAACATAAATCTAGTTTAACTGATGAGCCAGCTACAATTTTATGTGACTTGATTGCATTTTTTTTTTTTTTTATATTACCAGGTGTGTGTTCTGTGAAAGCGTATATCTTTTCACTTTCGAGAATGTGATGCCTCACCTGACGGATCTACCTAAAGTAGGAACCCACACGTCAGACATTGGTTATTTATCACCGACAGGCGTAAAGCTAATATCAGTGACGTGTAACTAACATCCTCAGCTGAAAGTCGGGGGCAGGGCTAGTGGGCGTGCTTTCAAAGAAAAAAAAAGAAAGAAAAAAGATGATGATATTAATTCTGAGACGACTGTAAGCTGGATAGAGATAAACTAACCGAGTGAGTGATTTGCTTTTTTGACGTCTTATCAACCTTTGAAGGTTATTTAAAGCCAAGACATACTTTTGGATTATAAGAATAATTATATTTTTTGAGAGCGAATATTGTATTACCGTTTTTTTTTTTTTTTTGAGATAATGATGATTTTCAGGTACAAGTCATACTATTTAACCCACAGTTGGTGGGGGGAGAAGAGGTGGGCTCGTGCATTTTCGAAAGATATTTGTGCGAATATTGTATTATCGTTTTTATTTTTATTTTTTTTTTGGAGATAATGATAATTTTCAGATACAAATCATACTATTTAACCCATAGATGGTGGGGGAGAAGAGATGGGTTCATGCATTTTCGAAAGATATTTGTGCGTAAATAAACGCAATGAACCCGATTGGAACTGGAAGAGGTGACAAACTAATAATTAAACTAATAATTTCAGTGTTTGTGTATCAATGCTTGAACCGGCATCTAGTGATCTGAGAGGGAGCGGCTGGGGAAAAGAAGATGTCGCTCGTGGGGTGGGGAAAGGTATTCTCGGAGGAGTTGCACCACGGCAAATGAGAGCAGCGCTATATTGAGTCTAGTTTGTCACCTCTTCATCACCAATGCCCGTTGGTATGTTGCTTGCGCCGTTTCGTAACTGTCCGGGCACGATTCTCGGTTGTGGATGCGCACTGATGATGAGTCCCAAATAGGACGAAACGTCGGTCCAGTGCTTTCTGCATTCTGTTGAGGATTCTTCTAGACTCGATGAATTAATTGGATTTGTATTCAAATACCTTCAATAATTTCAGTGTTTATATATATATATATATATATATATATATATATATATATATATATATATATATATATATGAATAAATATAGTATTAAGGTGTACTATATTTATGGGATAAAGTGCTCAATATCAGAGATAGAGCGTATGTAAATATAAATATAAAAGTGAACATTGAAGTCAACACTCAGAGGTAACAGGCTGTTTGATGCAAGACGCAATCGTCAGGTCGCTATATATAGCTAATACTAATATATATATATATATATATATATATATATATATTAGAGTGTGCAGCTTATATTTTATATCATAAAGGAACAATTTATACAAAGAATTAAATAGCAATGTTAATGTGGTTAATGGCGAAATTACTTCACTAACAGGACTTAATGAGGCATTAACTTACTATCAACTCCTTGAATAATAAGATCCTTATATTCTAGTTGTTGTCAGATGGAAGACACATGCCATCTTTCGGTCTACACATATTTCGTCTTTGCCTATATATAAGAAAATTGCGCCCAGAAGATGACAATTTGAAATTGTCGAAAGTACTCGGCATAATCTGAAGGTAAGGATTATGGTAGCATTCACCATCTTAATCAAGGAAACCGTCCAGAAGAGTTGGAGGAGATTCCGAAGTCGCCTGGAGGCGGTGATTGAAGCCAATGGCGATTTTATTAAATAAATTTACTCTTTAGTATTTCAAGATATTTTTGTGTAATTTTGGTAAATATATCTGTTAAAATGAGATGTCAGTGTTATTTTCATTTTAGTGTAATTTAGACGACAATTTATTAATCGCAATGTGTGTGTGTGTGTGTATATATATATATATATATATATATATATATATATATATATATATATATATATATATCGAGAAAAATTTACTCTTGTAGATTTAATAAAGGGTTTAGTTTGAAATCCCTTGAAGGTTACCCTAGATCGAGAAGTACCTCATTAATACCGAAAACCAACCAAACGTGGGGGTTATTATTATTATTATCATTATTATTTACATTATTAATTAATATTATTGATTATTTACATTATTTTCAGACTGTTGTCCTTATCTTTATTACCATATTCACGTTTCAACCATTGTGTGCTCCGGCTTTCTTCAGCTGATTGAAATTTCGAACTGAACCCTTTATTTCGTCCACCGGGGTAGATTGTTCTAGTTCCAAGAGCCAAGCCTCTTTTGGATGTCTCGGTTATCTCTCTTTAATTTGACTCTCCAAGTTTTTGAACACCACTGCAGTAGCCAGGTATTGAACTCACAACTCTTTGGGTCAAGTCACTGGATCCAATCAACCTCAAGGACCCATGACCCAGTGGATAAATCCACATCTCTCTTTCTTTCTTTTTGTTTTCTCCCTTCTCATTCTTCTCGCTTCTTCTTTCTTCGATTTATTCTTTTTCTTTCCTTTTCGTAAGCCTCCTCTGTCTATTCCTTTCTTTCTTTTTCATTCTATCCTTTTCTTTGTATCTTTTTTCCTTCTATTTTCTTAGCTTCCTCTCTTTTTGTCTTTCTGTTTTAGTACTTTCTTCTTTCTTTTCTTACTTTCTTTTTCAACATCCCATCTCTCTTTTTTCTTTTTCAGCATTTCATTTTCTTTTTTCTTTCTTTCTCTTTTCCTTCTTACTTTCTTAGCTTCCTGTCTTTTTGTCTTTCCCATTTAGTACCCTTCTTTCTTTCTTTCTTTGCATCCCTTCTGCCTTCCTTATTCAGTCACTTTTTCTTTCTTTCTTTCTTTCTTTCTTTCTTTCTTTCTTTCTTTCTTTGTGAGCATCCATTATTTCTTTTTCATCCTCTCCCTTTCTTTCCTTCTTTTCCTTCTTTTTTCCTTCTTACTTTCTCAGCTTCTTCTCTTTTTGTCTTTCTTTTTTAGTACACTTCTTTTTTTTCTTACTTTCTTTTTCAGCATTCCATATTTCTTTGTTTCTTCCTCTCTTTCTTTATCGGCATCACTTATTTCTTTTTTAATCATTTCCTTTTCTTTTTTCCTTCTTTCTTTTTTCTTCTTAATTCTTAGCTTCTTTTACGTTTTCCATTTAGTACACTTTTCTTTCTTTCTTTCTTTCTTTCTTTCTTTCTTTCTATCTTTCTTTCTTTCTTTCTTTCTTTCTTTCTTTCTTTCTTTGTATTCCTCCTGCCTTTCTTATTCAATCACACCTTCTCTATTTCTTTTCGCTTTCTTCTATGCTGTCTATACATCTTATTTAATTTTTCCGTTGTCGTCGTCGACAACTTTCTTTACATCGTTTTCTTATCTACATTGTCCAATTTTCTTCTTTATCTCTTTTCTTCTTCAACCCTTCCCCATACTTTACTTCCTCTATCACCCACTTCTCTTTTTTCTCCTGACTATACACTCTTCTTCTTTATTCTTCTTTTGTTCTTCCCTTCCTTTAATTTGCATCATCTTTTTATCGTCTGCTTTCTCTTCTCGCCATTTTGTTTACCTCTGTTTACTATTGATATTATTATTTGTACTCATTCGTATTTTTTAAAAGTCACAACAACATCTATTCGTTAACCACTGTGTTTGAGGTTGCATATCTATTAAGATTGTTGATGTTGTTGTTGCTCTGGTCTTTGGGTGGGGCGCCATTTAATTTAATGTCAGTTCGCACAAGTGGCAAAGATTTCCTGTTTTATTTGTTTGTAGATTAAGAGGTTCAATTTTTGTTTTTAGCCAGCCATCTTGGTACAAGTTAATATCTATGTTTATCGTTCGCTCGTGTTAAACATTGTTTTGGCTTTTTTCATTTTGCCTCTTTTATTGTGACGGATTGAAAAAATAAAACGAATGAAAATCTGAATTGTTATATACGTAAGAAGAAAAAAAAAACAACAACAAGGAAGCAACAAAACCTACGTAAAAGCTAAAATAGCAAATTTCTAGCCTTCCTTACTAACCTTGGATGTGCATGTGGTGTAATGGTTAACGAGGAGAGATGAATTCAATTTTCGGTTGAGATCGTTATATTCGCTATCTCACAAATACTTTTGAGAAAAGTATGAATCCTATTCTCTCTTCCCGTCTTGGGTAAGACGATAAATTACATCGCATCCTGGGTAAGACGATAAACTACATATGCGTCCTGGGTAAGACGATAAACTACAACCGCGACATGGGTAAGACGATAAGCTACATCCTACAGCAAGGCCTTTGATCAGAAGGTTTTGATGAGCGTGAAACCACCTTTTAATTGCTGGTGTTCCCGGGTTCACTCTGGCCCGGGGTGGTAGCACCTGTCAGAGTGCCAGCTATGGCAAATAGTTACCCCCCACCAAAAAAAGGGGTCAAAACACCATGAAAGTATAAGAATTGGTTTTAACACCAGCAATACTTTTTGGAAAATATTTTACAAGCAATGTATTAAAAAAAAAATATTACCAACAATATATTTTTGAAAAAAAAATATTACCAGCAATAAAAATCTTGTCGGCATTAAATAACCCATTGAAGATGATATGCCATAAAACAAAATAAACCAAACCTGATCTACAAACTGATTCCTTACAAAGAATACATATTCTATTCATAAGAACTTAACCTAAAAATATTGTCGGCATCAAATAACCCATTGAGGTTGATATGACGTAAAACAAAATAAACTAAACTTGATCTCCAAACAGATTTCTTACAAAGAATACATATTCTATTCATACGAACCTATCCTAAAAATCTTGTCGGCGTTAAATAATGCATTGAGGTTGATAGGCCGTAAAACAAAATAAACCAAACCAAACCAGACATTCGACAGAAACCCTCTTTACAAAAATACGTCAATGCAACGGGATCTCCTACAAACTGTTTTCTTACAAAGAATACATATTCTATGCATACGAACCCATCCTAAAAATCTTGTCGGCATTAAATAACCCATTGAGGTTGATATGCCATAAAGCAAAATAAACCAAACCTGATCTACAAACTGATTTCTTACAAAGAATTCATATTCTATTTACATAATCTACTCTAAAAATCTCGGCATTAAATCTCGGTTGATATGCCGTAAAACAAAATAAACCAAACCTATTTTGTCTTCACTTATGAGTTAAATGACAGTGCTAACTGGACTCTATAGCTGTGGTTAGCAGCCAATATAGGAAAAGGACAACTCTGAATTCAAAAGCGTATGTTTCCTTAGTGGGGCACATACTTGAAGTGTAACTATGGTCTGATCAGCATAGTTGAAGTATAAATCACAGGTTGTCTTTGTGGGTGTTAAAGATAGACAAGTGGGCCTGAGTATATGGGCATATTTGGAAAGGAGGAGCCATTCCGAACATGAGAAATAACAATGTGCCTTCAAGTCGAAACATCTCTGATGATGATAACTAGCCTGGCACATGATGATACTTACTTGGCACATGCGGGTTATTCTAATCATCTCTCAGTTTCGTGTCTGTCTTCGGGCAGAGTGCGACTCATTTGTGTCTTTATCCGCGGACACTGACAGAGATGGGGGTGGGGAAATAATGAGAATTGTATTCCCCTCATTGCGCTAGAGAGCGGGGTCGGTAGCCATACAGATGTCAGCACAAGCGACAGTTGCGGGGAATGGACAATTTTTGGTCCTGGCCTGGGTGTACGCGTTCGGGTTCCCCACATTAAACCCAACCTTGGGGAGACGGGATAAATATTACAAGCCTTGGGAGTTTCGGGGCAACACAATTTTATATCACACATTCTCCAATTACTTGGCCATGTGTCAAACTATACTATCGGAATTTGCAAAATGAGGATTTTGGATGCTCATAGTCAAAGTATGCAAACTATCTATACTTAGTAGATTGGCGCAACATAATCTTCCGAACTTGATGTTTTATGTTGTATTAAACGAAGTTCAGTAAATAGGAATAACAAGTTGTAATTGAAATGCATAAGTTGCTTACTGTAGTGAGCCTGGCCATAGTTTTAATTTTAAAAATGTTAATTTAATTAAAAGAAAGCAATTTATTAAGATTAAAATATATAGAAAGTGCTTTAATTGCTAGATCATACACAGTAAATTATGTTACAACATTTCACCTATTTAGCAGGTCTCCTATCATCACAATGTGGAATACTTAATAACAAAAGTCATAAAAACATAAACAAAACAAAATTGGCGAGATGAAATACCCAGACACCACCCAAATTAAAACAAAAATAAAAACAAAAAAATTTGAAATTTTAGCGTCTCAGCATTTTCAGTGTTTCCTGTTTATGTATACTTATATCCAATTTTGCGTTTTTATATTCCCCCTTTCCATCATACGCATATAAAACTACATGAAAAAAATATTACTTTAGTATGATGAAGTCCAAAAGGACGAAACGTTTCATACAATTATTTTTCACATTTTGTCATTTATTTTCTTGACATTGTTCCGATATATAAAAGTTTATATATCAAGATGTCCAGCCTTCAAAATCTATCTATCTAAATCATTCTGTTCATATCTATCTCAATCTGTTCATATCTATCTATCTATCTATCTATCTATCTATCTATCTATCCAAGTTTGTTCATATCTATAAATCTATCTCAGTCTGTTCATATCTATCTATCTATCTATCTATCTATCTATCTATCTATCTATCTATCTATCTATCTATCGAAATCATTCTGTTCATATCTATCTATCTATCTATCTATCGAAATCATTCTGTTCATATCTATCTATCTATCTATCTATCTATCTATCTATCTATCTATCTATCTATCTCAGTCTGTTCTATTTATCTATCCAAGTTTGTTCATATCTATCAATCTATCTCAGTCTGTTCATTATCTATCTATCTATCTATCTATCTATCTATCTATCTATCTATCTCAATCTGTCCATATCTATCGAAATTATTCTGTTCATATCTATCTATCTATCTATCTATCTATCTATCTATCTATCTATCTATCTATCTATCTATCTCAGTCTGTTCTATTTATCAATCCAAGTTTGTTCATATCTATCTATCTATCTATCTATCTATCTATCTATCTATCTATCTCTATCGAAATTATTCTGTTCATATCTATCTATCTATCTATCTATCTATCTATCTATATCTATCTATCTATCTCAGTCTGTTCTATTTATCAATCCAAGTTTGTTCATATCTATCTATCTATCTATCTATCTATCTATCTATCTATCTATCTCAGTCTGTTCATATATATCTAACAAACTGTTCACATCTATCTTAATCAAAAGATAAAACCCAAGCTAAAAAAAAAAGGCGAAAAAAAAGGCAAAAAAAGAAAAAGAAAAAGAAATGAACAAATGATAGGAAAAGGCGAAAGAAAGTAAAAGAAAACTATTTTCATGATGTAGGTGGGTGGACGGGCGTATGGAGAACATTAAAGCTCATCAGTTTTCTATTCACCCTGGCTTCTTGCCATGCAATCACTGTGGTCTTCTACCATTCTCCAATAAATACATCCAAGGTTTCTTTGTTTGGCGGTCAAGTATTAAACCTTACGGCTTTTATTTTATGCTATTTATCTGATTTTTCTTTTCGATCTTCTATTTAGGAAAATGGTAAAACACTTGATTGTTCATACCACGTTGCTATTTCCGATTTTAGAAGTTCATCTATTCTGTTGATGTGCCGAAAGTGGAACAGCGGCTCGAAAATCTGCGAACTGGGTTCGAATTTCGGTCATGTTCGTTACGTTCACTTTCATACGAATACTCTTTGGAAAAGGTATGAGACAAACCGTTATGGAGTGGTTTCACAGTGGAGGCTCGTAGTTGTACTAAGTCGGTCCTAAAATAGGTTCGACGTACAAAACGTTAGGAACTTGATATAATAGGTAATGACGCAGAGAAATCTAGTGGTGGTCGCAGATACTTTAGTATCCGACTAACAGTCGTCCGGCATCGACTGACTGACCAACTCACTCAGCTCACTTCTCGTTACTATTACTACTCCTACTTATTATAGGTAGGAGAGTCTATTAACTATAGAATAGGTGTGTTCCACTATAACACAAACTCATCTCCCTCCAGATATGGGTTAAACTAGCGTTGATTTGGCAACCAGTCTAGGAGAACGAAAACTCTGAATACAAAACCAGCCCGAAGAGGGATGAGCTCCGGTAGGCTATCCTGTCTTAAACGCACAATTGACCTTCAAAAATTTAAATGCAATGTAAATCGTTACCTTTTGTCTAAGCCACTAAGTCGTGGGAGCTGGGGGATGTTACTGAGTGTGAAAGATTATAAGAAAAAGAAAAACGCTATTAAGGAGAGACAATAATAAAAGAACAAGAATTAAGAAGACAGAAGATAACGATTGACATTGCATCTAATTTTTTGAAGATCAAATGTGATTAGTAAGCAAGAAGCCGGAAGAGAGTTCTACAAGCGAGAAGTGCAAGAAAAGAAACTATTCACGTAGAACTTACGGTTATATCTAGTTATTTGAACTGTAAAAGTGATGCTGTTAATCTGGACTTTGCTTAAATTCATAAAGTCTATGTACTATAGAGGAAAGCTCATAAGAACAATTACCATGAAAATATTTATAGAAAAGGCACAAGGAATCTACATTAGGGCGGTGGAAAAGGGACTGATATTGAGATGCCAGGTTAGGTCTAATAACATTGCAGATTCTTCGTAAGTTAGATTCTTGCGAGAAAAAAGTGAACCAATTTTCTTAGCCGTAATCTTAACATTTGCGTTTAAAATGTCAACGTTTTAAGGTAAGAATTATATAAAAAAAAATTAACCTAACGAAATATCATATTACATAATTGCAAAACTTTGTACTCGATTAGAAAATTAAAAACAATATTTTACATACCCACAAAAAACATTTATTAGTCAAGTAGATAACTTCAAGAAAACAGAATACATAGCTGTTAGCAAAAGGGACAGCCCAACATGAAAATAACAAATTGGGGATGCCAAAATCAAACAGTCTAAATATCTGAGAAGTCTTTAACAGAGGAGAGTAAGTCCTACCAGGTTTCATTATTGGCAGCCACAATCTAAGATATGCAGATGATACAGTGTTCATAGCAGATATAGAAAGGAAACTAGAAAAATTCCTACAGAAGATAATGAAAGAAAGCAAAATTAAAGGACAAAACATCAATTGCAAGAAGACGTAATACGTGATTGTTAGCAAAAGGGAACAGTCCAACATGCATATTACAAATTGGGGATGTCAAAATCAAACAAGTACAAAAATGTTAATATCTGGGAATTGTTATAACAGAGAACGGAAAGTGTGACACTGAAATCCAAAGACGCATTGTGGTAGCCCTATAGACCAACAGGAAATGAATGATGATGATTCAATGGAAGACCAAGGCAGTTTGGACAATTCAAACATCGATTGTGAAGAAGAGGACGTCACCAACAAAAGAGACAGTTCTAGATCTTCCATAGAAAAAATGCACACAGATCTCTAGAGAGAGAAGAGAAGAAAGTCAAAATGTAAATACATATAGACGAAGAAGCATAAAGGGTGATGTGGTACTGTTTGGTTAGTGCCGCCATTAATTAGTATACGTCTAGGAGTAGATGTTATGTATAGATTCGCTACACAAGGTAATGGCAATGGTACTTTGTAGACCAAATACTGACTCCATTTTTACTGCAATCCCTATTTGTATTATTGTCGGTTTACCTCATCCTAATTTTCGAAACCTTTACTAGGGGACGCTCTCCAGTACTATAAATACTCTGCGATAATCTTTTATCACTACCTTCTGATCTTATCCGTCAACATGTAAATCTCTCGCGTCCCCTTTTGGGAAACTTACGAACAATGCATACACACACACGTACGTACACACATTCACTCACTTCACATACTTTGCACAAAAAAGTTTCCACATTCATTTGTTATACTCATTGTTTTTGTCACTTGTAACTCTCTGGTGTTAATACATTATCATTTTCTTTGTATATATATATATATATATATATATATATATATATATATATATATATATATATTAAGCGTTTCACCACTAGCAAGGCGGCAAGCCACTAGGATGCAAGGGGTTACAGAAGATATGGAGCAAGATCAGATAGGAGTGATAGAGGAAAAGATGAGGAGAAGGATAGTGGATATAGATCAAGGCAACTGGAGACATCGATTGACATTACATTTGAATAGTTGGAGATTATATATAAAAAATATATATATATATATATATATATATATATATATATATACATTTTTATGTTTATACATTCTTTTTTATAGATACAAATATCTAAGTAAGTTTATAATAAACAGTATTAACAACATTTATAAACAGAGAATTTACTTAAATATTTGTATCTATAAAACAAATGTATAAACATAAAAATGTCTTAAAATAATTGTCGGACTTTGTTCATTTCATAATATATATATATATATATATATATATATATATATGTGTGTGTGTGTGTGTGTGTGTAGTTATTTATTTAAATATATATATATATTGGTTCTTGTTGTTTCTTTACATTTCTTTAGGTGGACTCACATCCCATTTCTGCCATGTCTGTTGTGGGCATTTCAGGATACACACCTGTTTATCTCTCAACGTATACACAGGCTCGCAACATTATCTTAACAAAATCATTATTCAATTGTATTAAATTGTATCTTACTCTACGATGCGCCCGAATAATAAAAAGACTAAAATGTAGAAAAAAAACTATTATAAAGCAAATAGATTATGTACACAATAAAGTTTTACAAATTATAATACAAAATACAAAAAATATCGCTTAGTTATATGCAATACCTCTGATCTTTTATTAATTTAACCATTGCAAACACACACACACACACACACATATATATATATATATATATATATGTATGGAATTTTCTTTTATAGAACGGTGACGGCGAAATGGCGAGCGTGAAGCTGCGATTACGAAATGGTGGATACCAAAATGGCAACTGCGAAACAGCGACTGCAAAATGGCTACTACAAAAGATGGCTTCAAAATGACGATCTTTTGTTATCGGTTGTCTTTTTGAATCCTGATGATGAATTGTCCTCTTTCCTAAATAGCGATTTCTTGTTTCTTCCACTCGTAGTAACCTCTTTAATGGTTTTATCGCCTTGGTTGGGGTGAAATGATAAAAAAAAAACAGGTTTTTAACTGCTAATTTTCAAATCGGGCAGGACATTTTCCACTGTTGCTGTTATTCAGACGATAGGCGGAGCTACGGCTTTCTAGGTAACTGTCTGTATTTTTTTGTTTAAATATGATTGATGTACGCTATTTTTCTGTTCTACTAATGAATGGTCTTGCTAGCTTAACATGCTGAATAGAGGTTTTATAGCTCTATTCATATCCCGCTTTTTATTCGCTTAATTCTTTTTTAAGGCATCGCATTGCATGTGTGGGTGTCCGTTTTTTTTCGCAGAACATAAAATGAACGAGAGCCCAAATCTACGCTTGGATTATTTGCTGACCTTAATCTAAAAATGGCGGACAATATCACTTAATGGACAATACTATTTTTACGACTCTTTCTGCGCATGAGCAGATATTACATTCATTCATATCCTCCGTTGCATGAGAGCCATTTTTATTAATTCTTTTCAATATTTATCAAGCTAAATTAAGTTTGTCGCAAATCCTAACGAGGAAAAATAGTAAATTGTGCAGCTAATTTTAAAATGGGAAATATCCCGCTTGTTTTGAAGTTCTTCGTCTTCTATCTACCGTCTCCCTTTAGGACGTTGCCGATGTGACTCTCCACAATTTCCTGTCCTTTGTAGTTCTTCATAAATTTTATCTATTTGTTATTTCTCCTAAACCCTGTCCCGCCATCTCAAGTTCACTTGGTATGTCATGCGTTGTCTTCCTCTATCTCTCTTGTCCTGAATCTGTCCTGTGAGTAGTGATTTTCCAAGCGTAGCTCAGATGTGGCACAAGGCCGAAAGTATGAGGCACCCAGTGAGGATCGAACTCACTACTCAGTCGTAATTGATCTAGCAAGACAAGCTTTCTAACCATTACACCACGCCGAGGTCCCCAATCTGTCCTGTGAGTATCAGATTTTCCAAGCCCTCTTTCCTCATTATGTGCCCCCAGAAACCTCAGCTGTCTCTTCCTGATCTTAAGTATGTTTTCTTTTTGTTTCAATTTTCTCTAAAACTTCATCATTGCTCACATGTTCAGTCCATGGTATTCTCAGCATCCTTCTGGAGAACCATATTTCTGTTGTCTCAATACT